ACATGCAACGCATGCCCTAGCAACTGCAGCAGCAGCAAGGGCGAAAACCCATTCCCATTTTTCCCCACCCCGAACAGGCAAGCTCCCCCGAAAAAAACGCGCAAGGCGCAACGGAGGCCACGATAATATTTTGAAGAGCCTGCTGTTGAAAAAAACAAACAACACATGCAACGCATGCCCTAGCAACTGCAGCAACAGCAACCCCAACCAGTTAGCTAGTTATTGTTGCCCTTCGCCTTCGCCAGGTCTACCTGGAGTTGCATCATCCTGATTTGGTGATCACGATCTTCCTTTTGCTCTGCCCGTGCAGTCGCCCTCTCCCTTTCACGCTCTTGTCTGTCGTGTTTCCTTTCATCTTCCCGCATTGCCCTCTCGTGGGCCATCATGTCCAGGAGCTCTTGCCTCCTCCCTACTTCTCGTTTAGCTTCCGCCGCCCGCCTCCCGTCGTCCTCTTCACATTTCTGATCGGCGAGTGCCCGAGCGTCAGCCACCTGTCGCTCCATGAAGCTGGGACACGTGGCACAACGGCGCAAGAGAGACACCAGGGTAGGATAAGCTCTGGCACCTCCCTGATGGAGTAGCCAACAATATTACTGCTACGACACTTCTCTGGTACAGGTTACGTCCACCAAAAGAATCTAACAATAATGCACAGCGTATACCACACGAAGGAAATAGAGAACCAAGACACGGGCAGAGTCGACGAACAACCTTACCTATCTAGCCCATCCTCGGCGAGCTTAATGGTCTTGGCACGGGGCTTCCTTCCACGGTTTCCCGAAGGTCCACTCGCCCCCCCTGAAGCGTGGCTGCCTGACATGGCGTGCGCACCCCCCACTCTTGCAGAACCGGGCCTGGATGTCTGACCGGCGGCGGACAGCCAGGAGTTCGTCACGCCGGCGCCGAGCACCAACAACGAAGCCACCCGCTTCGTAACCTGAAGCACCTTGTCCGGCGTAACACGTTCTATGTGCCATCTGCTGTGAAACCATTCGATTCCGGCAGGCTGCGAGAGTCCATCATTTCCACGCCGTAGAGCTCGAGCAGTTTAAACATGACCGACTCGTCAAACCCATCAAACCCGGGCAGCTCACAATCCTCTTCACCAAGACGATCCATGTACTGCTGGACGCTGTCTCCGTCGCGCTGGATACAAAGCCTTGCGTCGAGTAGTACCACCATCATGGCCACGGCCCTTTCCGGCTGAACTTCGTCGGGCGTGAAGCCCGTGTTGAGGAAGTAGTCCGCCTCCTCCGTGGTGACCCCGGCACTTTCCGCAAGCATCGGAATGGTCAGCGACCCCATGTGCTTCACCAATTCGCCAAGCGGTGGAACCTTCCTCGATGGCCCGCTCCCCGCGGGCGATAAGTCGTCGTCTAGCCGCCCGTACTCATGGTCGGGCTCGATCGACCGCTGGCAGCGCCACCCGCCGAAGCCTCCGACGCGGGCCTCGCCCCCCCGATGCTGCTGGCCGGACTCACCCGACCGCTGGCACGGCCACCGTCCACTGCACCGGAGCGGGAACCCAACGCGATGTTGTCGGCGGCAACAGCTTCTTGGAATGATGTAGCCTTCGCGCCCGGCCCGCATCGGGCGTTGCCCTGGTTGATGGCCCACATCCTCATCGCGGAGTGCGAGGCCGCCTCGTCGGCTTGCTTCTGCTTGGTCTCCTCCGAGTCCTGCCTCGCGGCAGCCTTGGCGTCCACTATCGCGGTCAGAACTTTGTCCTGTGCGGCACATCGCGGACAAGAAGCAACAGCGGCGCGGCATCTCGTCAGCTCTACGACTTACAAAGTGCATCACTAGCGTCGGCGATAGCTATATGCATCGTCTGTTTTGTACTTCCGTGTCAACACTGCTACGTCACGCCCCTAAACAATACAGAGTGGGAGTGAAAACCTCGACGCTGTTTTTATTTTGTGGTTGAAGGACCGTCTCAGCAAGCTAACTCTGCACGTTTTGCGTCGCCTGGCGTGTAGCACTCGAACTTTCATGCTGTCTATCTACCTCTGTCTTTATTTTGTCATGCTGCGCATTTTAAGTTGGACTTACAGCTAACCCTGTGCGTACCCCTCTTCTCTGCAAGTGTAACGTTGGTGACGACGGCAGGCATTTTCTTCGGTCGGGACAGCGCAGGTGTTTCACGATACCCTATGGATTGTGGATTCTCCATGTGCAGATATTTGTGCCCGTCTTGTTTAGACTGTGCCATGATCGTGTACACTCAGGCTTGCGCCCGTCACAAAAGGTAGAGATAGCTTACTGGCTCTAGACCCCTCACCAGCTGGACCTTGGTATTCTTCTCTACTTCGTCCTCCGCGTCACTCTCAGCAGTGCCGGCTCCGGAGTCTCGCAGGGCTTTACCATCGCTCTTGCTCTGGTCGTCAACGATCTTGTCGTAGCGCGACTTGCAATTTTTGGAAGTCTTATCCTTGAACAGCCTGACCAGGGGCTCCTGGTTGAGAGTCTTCCAGCAGGTGTCCCACCTTTCGCCGACCGAACGCCCGCTCCCATTCACTTTCAACACTACGTTCTGCAGACCTGTAGAGGACAAGGGTGGGAGCGCCATTGAATGTCGTAGTGGGGACTTGCTTCGGCTCCATTTTTTACACCAGATACATGTGCGTTTTGAGTAGAGGAGGGAGCATAGGTCTCGCCACTAAACGAGTCCGTGAACACCGGCCGTCTTGCAGCGCACGGAATGGCTATTGCGCAGAGTGTCAACTGCACCGGGTCCGCGGTGCTTCGCAGTAGTTGTTTCGAAATTCTTTCGGGTAGACTGCATCTACTGTGGCTACAGCGGGATGCAGGAGAAGTAACGCTGCGGGTAACCCCTTCTAGCATGATGCAACATGATGTGCCACGGGTAGACTGCATCTACTGTGGCTACAGCGGGATGCAGGAGAAGTAACGCTGCGGGTAACCCCTTCTAGCATGATGCAACATGATGTGCCACGGGTAGACTGCATCTACTGTGGCTACAGCGGGATGCAGGAGAAGTAACGCTGCGGGTAACCCCTTCTAGCATGATGCAACATGATGTGCCACGGGTAGACTGCATCTCCTGTGGGACGCAGCAGCGGATCCGCGCCCACCATAATAGTCCGGCTATGTGCCGTCGTGTAGCGAAGAAATACTACATAGTCGAGTACACCTTGCGCTTACAATTTTGTGCGCACCTTTGTCCTGCTGGTTCCATATAAAGGCGACATGTGACAGTCTTTGCAAATAGACTGCATCTACTGGGAGATGCAGCGGCTTCGTACGCCCAAAAAACTCGTCGCTGCTATTAAACTTTAAACAAATGCCATACGTGAGGTGCATTTTTTCCACGTCGGAACAAGTGCAAGAAAGTCTCACCTTCTTCGCGAAGCAAGACTTGTATCTCCCCTACGAACACCGAATATAGCTTTCTTTGTGTTCCTACCCTACTCCGCTGCTATTCGACTGAATCTTTCGTATGTGTTGTGCATCGTTGCACCCTCGTTGCCAAGGATCAACAATCTGGTTCGGAGTTGCTGTCTCTTTTACAGTTCAAAACAGCGTGCATGTGTGCGCGCGCACATGGGTCGCTCCCTCAACCCCAGCAAAGGAAACAACTAACTCCAGCACGGGAAATCGCACCAGTACGGAGACAGCAAGTACGTATACCACCGCTGTGGCCGGCTGCTCCTGCAGTGCTGTGTCGCGTTCGGAGCGTATGGGAGTGGGGTTTGGGGAGGGAACACATCCAAGCCAACAAACGCCTCTCTCCAGAAAAACAGAGCATACCCTTGCGCTNACATGGGTCGCTCCCTCAACCCCAGCAAAGGAAACAACTAACTCCAGCACGGGAAATCGCACCAGTACGGAGACAGCAAGTACGTATACCACCGCTGTGGCCGGCTGCTCCTGCAGTGCTGTGTCGCGTTCGGAGCGTATGGGAGTGGGGTTTGGGGAGGGAACACATCCAAGCCAACAAACGCCTCTCTCCAGAAAAACAGAGCATACCCTTGCGCTGGGAAAGACTCACCCGCCCTTGCCAGCGCCAAGTCGTAAGTAGGAGGCCACTTCGTGCTCTTCCTAACCCTAGCCTGCTTTACTGCTGGTGCTGCCACGACTTGGACATCGTCGCCGCCTCCCCCATCCGCTTGCTCCTCTCCCCCCCCTGCCTCGAGGTCTCCGGCGTGCTGCTAGCCTAGAGCCGCAAAGCCCAACCGACCGGCTGCACGTGCCGCCTCCATCTTGGCAACCTCGTAGCGCTCCAGATCCAGGGCCTTTGCGCTGGGCATTGTCTTCCTCTTTGGGCGGGTGCTGGACATGTTCATGGCAGACTGCTGTGTGTGCGTGTGGGTCTGGTGTGGTGGTGGAGGCTGGTGTGGGTGTGTTGTTTCGAAGAAAGTTGCTTTAATAGTTTTCTTGGCAAAATTTTCCACAAAACGAGCCTCGCTCGGCTCTTAAATCTAAATGTTTTTTCCTTATTTCGGGTTCTGGCGAGACTGTCAGGGAACGATTCTGGGAACGATGGCTTATCTCAAAAATATATTTCCTTATTTCAGCTTTTTTTGGGTCCGAAACTGTCAATTTTCGTTTTTTTTTTTCATTTCCATTATTGGGCGTGCAACGGCACTGCCGTGGCAGTGCCATGGCAGGTCACGGCGCTGCCGTGGCACGCCCAATAATGGATAACCCTTTTAATTTTGTAAAATTCCGGCACACACTTCGTTCGTCGGTTGTGGACCAAAACTAACTCATATTCAGTCTCTGTATCGAACAGTTTATCCACCGAATCGGACCTCGGTCCTGCAGTAGAGGTTTCTTCTTTGATTTCCAAGTGTGTTGTAACAACATATTCGCCTGATTGAGAGCGNCACCGCCCGACGCGATACCGCCCTGAAACAGTTTGAGCAGAAATAGCCAATCTGGGCAAATCTAGCAACTTGTCTAGCTCCTCGCTGCAGCATCCGATGACGATGACACGCATATGCTCGCGAAGCTGCTGATGAGACCTTCAATTTGCACCGCTTCTTGGAATAGCCCGTCCCCTACTTGCCAAGAAATGGCAAGAGGCGTCTGGACCCGAAATTTCAATTTTTTTGGCTTCGCTCTCAATCAGATACTTCGCTCTCAATCAGGCGAATATGTTGTTTTGTTCAAGCCTGCAGGAACTAGCGGATTCAATGTCAATGCGAATTCCTTTCCCATACGTTTGGCGCAGACGGTAAAGGAACTACTAGATAAGGAACTTAGCAAAGAATACTTCACCGCAGCTCTTCATCGCTGGGTACAGCCCGTAGATGGGTTAGGCGCCGGGACGCCCTTCATCACCGCGGGTGACGGCAACTGCCTGTTGAACGCCGTGGCCCAGCTATTCGCCTAAAAAAACACGCGGGATGAGGAACGAGGTTAAATCCTTGGCGGTGAAGCTACGACTGAGCCTAACCCTCGAGGGGATGCGGCACATAGAGGCATACCTCTCTTGTCAAGAGGATTTCTTCATGTGTTGATCCAGCTACGGGGATGAAGTGCGAGAAGGACTGCCTAAGCTGGGGTGGACCATCGAGGCAGACGCGCACAACAAGCATCGACTGGGGGGGGGGGGGGGTTCCGGGCACGTGATACGACCGGGTGAATGCAGGGCCATGTCGGCATTATTCCGTGGATNGGACCAGGCTCTCACATCACCAAGCGCGAAGCGCCGTGAGGTGAAAATATTTTGACCACGTTTTCGAAAAATTCTGACCTGTGATTCTGACATGAAAAAGTGCGGCGTAATAAGGGCATTTGTTACGATATCTTTTTTTAGGCTTTTTTTAGGCTGTCATTTTTTCAAAAAATGACAACTGGCCAAATAGCCCCGTGTTATAGGCTGTCAAATAAGGTTCGTTGTCATATTTTAACAAGAAAAGAAGTTGTAACACCGGGCTATTTGGCCAGTTGTCATTTTCGAAAAAAATACAGCCTAAAAAAAGCAAAAGAAAAACATCGTAACAAATGGACTAATAAGACCACTGTTTATGGCAAAAAAAATCTTGACCTTGATTCCTCAAAACCTTGGCAAGATGAATGCGACCCCCCCCCAAGATCAAGATTACAGCCCAAACGTGGTTGGTTATGGTTTGCAGTCACAATATCGTTGATTAAACAAAGGGGGGGTGTAGGTGGAATTCAAAATACGGGGGCAACGTGCCTCTGCCGAGACAGCAACGGACGCGCTGCAACCCAGCGCACACCAGTACACAAGCAGCTCAGCGAAGTCATGGAGGCCGATCAAGCTGCCGCCGCACGAGCGCTAGCCCAGGCGGCTGCTCTCAGGGCGCGGGACGAAGCCGAGCAGTCGAAGCTCGGCGTTCCCCTCAGCAATGATCTGTTGAGAGAGTTTCGGCTTGTGCTGCTCAAGACCGGCGGCAAGGTCATGAGCGCCCTTGCTCAGAAGACGTTCCAAGCCTTCCCGATCGCATACGCCGCGATCACCTGCAAGCAGTCAGAACAGATGGATAAAGGTGAACGTGACGTGGTGTGTACGAAGACCCTCGTGGAGTTCGCCATCCCGCAGTTCATCGTGCTGGCGAAGGCTGCAGCGAAGAAGCTTGAGCTGCCGCTCCCGCTGGACATCGAGGACAAGATGTATCTCACGTCGTTGGGCACAGGTATGTTGCATCCACGGATGCAGTGTTGTTCGGTTGCACTCGATCCACGCGGGCGTGAAGGCCTGAGGATGTTTAAAGTTTTGGCGTAGATATGACGTACGTGTAGTCGACACGCCGAGAAGCCCACGTGAGGTGCTTGTTTCGTCGTCGGCAACTTCTGACACGTGCACCGTCCAAACTTAGACTAGTAGTCTATCCCACGAATCCATTCCACTATAGTCGATAGCATACGAGAGCAACTGCGCACTCTTCAACAGCAGCAGGTATCACCAATAACATTGAGCGACATCTTCGCACGAACGTACAAGTTGGGAAATGTTCTTCTCGCCGAGAGCAGCAAGAGTGCTGCCAGATGTGGGGATGACGCATGAACAGATTATTGCTCCGGCCGAGTTACCTTCCCCGGGGCGTACACATTGATGTTGGGACAACACCTCAACCCCCCATGGCGGGGCACTACGCAGCAAATAATGCTCCCCCCCTCCCCAGGCAAGACAACGGGGTTTTTAAGTGTGACCGCTCTCACTCTCAGCACAAAAATTATCAACTTTCNGTGGTCAATGGTCTAACAACTAAGGCATGCAAAACATGAGTACGCCCCCCCCCCCTTCCCCAGGCGAGACAACGGGGTTTTTAAGTGTGTCCGCTCTCACTCTCAGCACAAAAATTCTCAACAATCGTTCAGGCTTCACGAACAGAATAAACCACCACCAACGTGCTACACACGACACTCACGTTCTCATCGACGGCAATGGTGCACTCTTGCGGTGGATCGCAATCGCACTCGGGCTTCGGGTCCATCTCATGTCCTCCTCCCGGCCCCTCTTTCGCCGACCCCGTACCAACCTCCTGGAACCTAGCCGCTGCCGCTGACAGAGACCCAGCATCGGCGATCACTGCTGGTGTTGTCTGGGTGAGGTCCACGGCCTCCGCCTTCTTGCACTCGTCGGAGCGCTGCCACACTTACTCGATAAGCTTGGCTGCGTAGTCCTCGGATGACTCTCCCGATTCAAATTCGGACGCGGTCTGGGGACCTCTGCACGAACAGGCCGCCGAATANGAGGTCCACGGCCTCCGCCTTCTTGCACTCGTCGGAGCGCTGCCACACTTACTCGATAAGCTTGGCTGCGTAGTCCTCGGATGACTCTCCCGATTCAAATTCGGACGCGGTCTGGGGACCTCTGCACGAACAGGCCGCCGGATGGTACACGGGAAGGATTGCGGTTGATCAATCGCAAAATTTGTTTTCTTGAGTGGCGCTGTACGTAGGTTCGACAGGCACGCCTGCACTTCTTGAAGTCGGGTTGAGTCCATGGCCGCCTGCCGCGTGCCTTTGCCTCGGAAATTGCTCTAGATTCATGCGACGCTTGAGAGAAAGAAGCGGGGTTCCTCGGCCGATTCTCAACGCTGCCATTTTAATGGCGGCCATTCAATACCGAGTCCATTCGACCTGGGACCTGGGTGTGAGTTTCCTTGATCGAGCTGATCACAACCCACTTGATTGAGTAGTTTTCTGAAAGCGTATAGCGAGGCTCTTCTTGTGCGGTGCTGGAAGGTACTCAAACCCACAGCGGAGTGAATAACCCCACTCCGCCAGGAAACATCCGCAGCAATGTCAATACTACCCTCAAGTACAGGTGCACCTTCACCGCACTTCACTGGCTTGATTTGTGGTGCTCATACAACACATGGCACCTTGTCTGCTGAATTTTTGTGACTACCTCCGCTACACACTCGTCATAGATGATCTGGATCTACTTCGTGAAGTCTCGCTTGATGGTTTCCCATTTGGTCCAGCAGGGCCTGGGTTTATCTTTAAACGATACCGCCGGTTTTTTTCCTGCAGTCCAGTCGCCGGAAGGAAGCGGAAGATGCTTACGCGGTCTACGTGTATGGGGTGGGTCTAAGGCTCGACCTACAATCAAGTAGATCTCGATAGACCTTACGCGACAGCAGCGGAGACAATACGCTCTCGGCAACTACTGCTGTGCGCATATCAAACAAACCTTGCCCCACGCGCGGAAAGGCAAGGTTGAACAACGACCAGGCTCGCCTATAAATTAGCGTTTATGATTTGGAACAGAGGCTCAGATCGCCACGGCAGTAGACTATTAGACTTTCTCTTTTTTTTGTTCTTGCCGCCCACGAAGCTTGCGTCCTGCCTTGTCCCATGTGCGACTGTTCTGCGTGCGATTTCCTTTTCGAAAAAACGTGTGCCAATGGTAGTCGATATCATATTGACGGTACATAGCAATATTTCCAGATTCATGAACCTGGTCGGTCTCCGGAGCGTCGTCGCGTAGGAATGTCCCGACTTAGTTTTTTTGAAACAACGATTTTGTTCAAAAGGGTTAGTTTATGCTTTCATAACTAGGCCCCCATCCATCTCCCATGTTCATGTATTGGCCGCGTTGACGGGGCTTTTGGTTGGGGAGGTATGCGGATGAACCCATCTACGAAAACAACAAGCAGGGTTTACCTTTACTTCTCAACATGTGGACCTAACTCTCCGCCCCGGTCACTACCCCTGCACCCCTCTCTCACGCTGCAGGGAAAAAAATACTGGCAGTGCGCGACAGAGGCCGTGCGTTCGTTGGAAAGCTGCTTCTGCTTCATCCTCCATGGTGCCGACGAGGTGGACGCCGCGGGCGAAGGCGGGCTTCCGAGCTCGGTGGTANCCATCTACGAAAACAACAAGCAGGGTTTACCTTTACTTCTCAACATGTGGACCTAACTCTCCGCCCCGGTCACTACCCCTGCACCCCTCTCTCACGCTGCAGGGAAAAAAATACTGGCAGTGCGCGACAGAGGCCGTGCGTCCGTTGGAAAGCTGCTTCTGCTACATCCTCCATGGTGCCGACGAGGTGGACGCCGCGGGCGAAGGCGGGCTTCCGAGCTCCGGTGGTGCGGAGGCAGCAGGGGCGGGCGTGGGCTCCGGTGGCGGGGAGGCGGTGGGCAAGCAAGACACAGCGGGGGGGGGAAAATCAACTCCGGTGCCTGACGGATGGTTCCACCCGTACATCATCATCGCTGCTTCGTGGTCTCCCTGGGGCGGGAACTGTCCCACCCAGTGGCAAAACCTATCCGCGTCTTCAGTTAGTTGCAGATCCTATGCTACACACACAGCAATTGATACGCACACAGCATCTGTGATTACAAACGTGTGCACCAGCA